TATATGAATAATTTAGGGTATGAACTGCCCAAGTTTATGTTTTATGATGATGAACTAAAATGTATCTAATAATGAAATGTTGATTATAAAGTGACTTGAAATGATTAAGAAGGCCACTGTATGTTGCATTGAGAGTCTTGGGTACAATTGGCATGCCATGAGGTGGAGTAAGTATGGTTCTGATTGGGACATTGGTATATTAGGTATAGCATCGTTGGTGCAGATTATATGATTGCACTTGGAGTGCATAGACTGATTCTAATAAAAGCACTGAAGTGCTTGTTGCGCACACTTGTCTGACTCACGTATCTTGCATTCTCTTAAATATACTTTGGTCTATGAAAACGAAATATGAAAGTTCTGTAAAGTTTATGAATGGAAAGAAATGTTATATAATTACTCTGTCTGATATTGATTATTATGATATTTGATATAACTATGAAATGATTTTTTTTTAGGTTTCTAATGAAGAAATATTTTGAAATAACTGGTTTGAACGTTTTGAGATTTTATCCGAATTATTTTTTAATGTTTTAATATACATATGGTATTTATATTGTTATCTCACCTTGATTTATTACTGCCTCGCTAAATTATACTTTAACGCGTGATGATTTTTATGCGTAGGTCCGAATAAAGATAAAGAAGTGCAATGAGGAGCCTCCCAAGCATCTTTTTGGAGATCATATATATTACCAGTAATCAGTAAGACATCTGTGATGTTACTTTTGACTAGTAGTGACATGTATATTTATGTTATTAGCTTGCTTATTTGGATTAAAATTTAAATGGCATGTAATAGTAAAATAGAACTATTTTTATTTGGACTATTCTAGATATATATATATATATATATATATATATATATATATATGTTGTGAATGAGTGTTTTACCATGATTAAAATGATTTTAAATTTTAGTTTTTAGGCAATATTATATAGTTTATGATTGAAAATGAATTGGATTTTCGATATTAAAATATTAATCCATGATTTTGTATGGTTAAGGAAATAATTTTAAAGTTGAAATAGGAATGTTTAAACAAAACAAATTTTTTTAAACTGTTATTCAGTGAATCTTTGTCAAGTTGATGAGACGTCTTTAGCTCATATTTTGAGATGTATACGGGCAATAGGTATTACAATTTGGTATAACTGGTTCACGGAAAATATGCTTGGATGATGAATTTTATGATTAGAGTTCATGAAGAACATGTTGAATTTTAGAGAATTAAAGGTTGATTTTATGTTATTAGTGTTGTAGAATGATTTACAAGCCTACGTGATGATTAAAATCATCTAAAAATGCATATATATATGATTCGACCATGGCTAAGTTTCTTGAAGATGATTGGAATTTTATGAAAATGATCATAGGAGCATGAATTCATGCTTGAAGTTGAATAAAAATTAACCCTAATGCTCTTGATAGGTTCGGCCAAGATGAAACAATTAGGGGGAAATTATTCAAAAATTTCCTATGATTTATATTTGATATTGGAATGACTTTACAAGTTTTAGAAGTTGATTTGGACCAATTTGGAGTCTTGCGAAAGTAACGAGACTCTTTTGCAAGTTTTTAGAAACTCAAGGAGTTGATGTATAAATGTTCAATTGTGAGTGTACTATACTGGAAATTAATGTTTGGATGTTGAAATTACGTTGGAATGTTGAATTGGGGTCCAAATGGAAAATTTAGTAAAGCTTGGTGACTAGTTCAAAAATATTAGAAACTTCGATGCTTGAATTTCAAGTTTTCAAATGTGAATATACTTGATTGAATATATTATTATAAGGCTGGAAATTTTAGTATTGGGTTTAAACGAAGTGAAATGGTGAAGAACCATTCAAGTATATTTGACAAGTTTATGAATTCTAAAAGAATTTATAAATAGTGATTAAATTTTAAGGTTTATGAATTTCAGTGACTTGGTGAGAAATATGAATATTTATGGAGTTGAAGTTTTATTTTGAAAATATTGAAGTTGATATGGAATCATGAAGTGATTTTTATCTCAAATAAGTATCAACATTTATTTATGGATTTAGTTATTGGATTGTGAATATGTAAGTTTAATACTAACATATACGTTGCATATATTGTTATTTGTTTGATGTGGTCTAGATTTTGATAAACCTTGTGAACAAAGAAAATCAAAATGGAAGGAAAAAGTACGAGATTAATAAGGAACATCGTCGTAAAAGGTTTGATAGTAAGACTAATAAGGTGAGTGCATTCTTACTTATTTTAATGTTTAGAAATAAACCGAATATGATTTTATTATAATGAGTTTATTTTATAGTAATTTCTGAAATGGTTTAAGAAAGATTTGGGTATGAACTGCCTAATCGCTCTGATTATGGATATTTTTAAATTGAAATGGATACTATTGATTATAAAGGCCTTTGTATGTGCATTGAGAGTTAGTGGCATGATTGACATGTCGTGAGGTTGAGTGATTTAGTATTTTTGCACTATAAGTGCGTTTTGGTACCTTTGTGTACATATATTTTGCATTGATTGTGCGTTCTGGCACTAAGGGGTGTGTTTTATTTTAGTAATTAAGACTGTGTTTTGTTATGGCAGGTACGACTGCATATTTTGCACACACTCGTTCTAACTCGTGTACATAATATTCTCATTTGTTTACATTGAGCTATATGCTCAATGTTTTGAAATATACAGGAATGATTGTTTCATTGAAAGTAAATGTTTCTTTGAATGATTTTATATGTGAAAGTGACCTGGAATATGTAGGAATGATTATTTCATAAAAAGTAAATATTTTTTTTTTGAATATTTCGATATATGTGAATAAGAATTGATGTTCGAAAAGACATTTTGAAGTTTCAGATGAAAGAAAGAAATTATTCAGTCTATTATTATTATTATTATTATTATTATATTCTTATATTTTTATATAAGACAATTTTAGTAAGAATATTTATTTATTCATTTTATGTTATTATAATTTTATGTTGAAGAATACTTCACTAAGTTGTTACTTAACGTATGAATATTTTATGTGTATGTAAAGCAAAAGATCAATCAGTGGAGTATGGAGCATAGCAAGCATCAGTTTTTGGATAATTGTATCTAATCCAATATTTGTACGGTATTTACCGCTCTTAACTTAGCTAGTTGGCATGTATACTTAATATATGTGTTTTAATTGCTCTGATAATTAGATTATAAATCAAGTTGTATTATATAAATTAGTATAAGTAGTATGTAGGTTAGCGGGTAAAATTTATATTTCTCCGGAAAGATAGTTACTAAATTATGATTATAATTATATCAAAATGGATTTGTACGTAGGCAGTTATTGGGCAGTCTTATTTTAAGGATGATTCAGCGTCGAACTGCTATAGTTAGGACTGTAAATGATACGAGACAGATCGCGAGCTATTCGAGATCAACTCGATTAAAGCTCGATAAATACTCAGATCGAATGAACTCGACTCGAGTTCGTAACGAGCCTAAACGAGTTACTCGATATTCAACTCGAAAAACTCGTGAGCAGCTCGAAAAAATGTTATATTATAATTTTAGATTTTTTAAAATTACATTATTAAAAATATATTAAAAATACACTATTGATAATTATAAAATTTTAAAAATATATTAAAAATTCTATAATACAAATACCCTCAAATTTTAATTTTTTTAATTAACCAAGTTCAATTGTTACATTTTATATTACTAAAAGAAAAATAAAAGCACATATAATTAAGCAAATGTTAGATTACACGTGTTTGATTGATTTTTTTCTTTCTTTTTTTAACTTTTTACTGCATATGTACTTGATAACGTAGAAAAATAAAATAAAAAAATAAGAAAAAATAGTCAAACAATAGAAAAATTGAAAATGGTTAACAATTATTTTTGAATAAATATTCTTATATTTATTTTAAATTAATAAAAAATTATTTATCTAATGACAAATATTTAATATATTTCTAATGATAATATTTTTAATTAACTAATTTTTTAAATTGTTGTTATATTTTGAGGTTTCGGATTCAAATATCATAAATATCAAGGGTTTGAGCATTTAATATCAAGATATTATATTGTACTTACCTCATAAATCAGTACCAAATCGATTAATTAATATCTTTGTAATGAACCCTAAACCTTAAACCCTAAAACCCATTTAGCACAATTCAACAGTAGCAGTCGCCAAAAGGGGCTCTCTGCTTCATGCTGAAGCATTAATCCCACAACGGTGCAGTACGTGAAAGGAGAACAAGGGTGGTGTTATAAAGAAGAAGCAATTAGCATCATTACAACATACTTACCTGGGCGGGGTCAATGGTTTGAACTTGTTTCTCCAGTACTCATCTAGTACATATCACTTAAATAAATATTCTATTTTGAAAAGAAATTTTTCAAAAAATATTGTCACGTAAATGTGTATTTGTCTTATGTGATAAAATAACTTTGATACCACAATTCATTGGCTAGTCTCATCTATCTACATGTCTTTATATAAAACAAGTCTATAAATTGTATAATATGTATTTTTAAGAAAACTATGGAAAGTTTGAGACTATAACATTTAGGAAATTATTGGTTTGGTAAACTTCTTTTAATTCCACAAGTTAAATTATGAAGATCGTACGTTATTAGTTAATATTTTTTAAATAATTAAATAAAACATGTTAATTTTTAATCCACTTGTATATTACATAATTTATAATTAATTTATCAAATGACAATCTAAATATTTTTTTAATTAATTTAAGTTGATTATAAGATAATATATGTTTAAAATACTTTAATCATTTAACAATAAAAATTTAAATATTTTTATAAACATCATAATCGAACTTAAAATTTATAAATATAACAATAATTATTTAACTAACTTATTCTAAAACATTTAATGAAATAAACGCGAAATATAAATGAATCACTTTAAATGCGGGGAAGAGATAAGAGTGCATTTTTGAGAGGGCGAGAAGTGGGTGTGGGGTCACCATCAACGAGTCTTCCCGTTGGTCATTCCTTATAGATGTCTGGAAATGTGGAAAATTTTGCCATAATTTGTTACCACACAATTTTCATACTTTGAAAGTTGAATCCCAGAAGAAATCTATGTACTCATCTCCTCCCCCCAAATATATATATATATACCGGAAAAATTTGGTAACCTGTTTCTCCTTTCCCTTCTTCAACGGCAATAGCATATAAGGAGACCCTCCATTTATTTCTTTGAAGAACAATAAATTGGAGGATTTGTTTTACTTTTTTATAAATATTTTGGGGGGAGAAGTTCCCTAGAAGATGATAAGATGGTGGTGGGTTTCTGCTTTTCAATTAGTCGAGCTGTTTGTTAGCTCAATGGTTCATCTTTTATATGGGTTTTATGTATATAGCATTGTTGTTGATGGGGACCTTCCTCAAGCTTTGAGTGATAGGATTTTCAAGTCTAATGCAAGTTTAGAGGTGAAAAGACAAGATCCCAGTAAAACCAACGTTGATGATCTCCCTCCTATTGTTTTGGTTCATGGCATTTTTGGTTTTGGCAAAGGAGTATGTTCATCTTCTTCCTTTTGGTGTTCTTTTTTTTTTCTTTTTTTAAGTTTAAGCTGAATTTTATGATATGATGTGGGTTCTTTTTTGCAGAAATTTGGAAGTGTTTCATATTTTGCAGGGGCTGAGAAGAAAGACGAGAGGGTCCTTATGCCTGATTTGGGTTTTTGTAGAAATTTGGAAGTGTTTCCTTTTGTGTTTCATATCCCGCATCGTCGAGATACTATAAGATGGCAGGATAAGCTATATATAAAACAAGCGGGCTTGTGCAGTTCGAAACATATTTTTCTTGGCATTTTGGCTAAGAGTCGAGCTTGATTCGAGTTTGATTTGAGCTTGATTTGAGCTTGATTCGAGCTTAAAATCGAGTTTTAATCGAGTTCGAGTCTTGAGTTTTAATTGAGTTCTTGAAATTTTTTTGAGTTCGAGCCTTTTCGAGTTTGAGTCGAGTTTTAATCACATTTATTTTTATTTAATTAAGATTTAGTCACCACGGTTAACTACTGTTCACATTTAACATATTAGGTGACATTAATTTCGGTATAATCATATATTGATCCTTGTTATTACATATTCTATCAATTTAGTCATACTTTTATTAAAATAAATTTAATCATTCAATCGAACGATGTCACATATTATGTCATACATCATCGTTCGGATGTATGACTAACTTTATTTTTAACTAATTAAAGGGTAACACGTGTCACCCTCTTGTTGAAAGAAAATAAAACAAAACAAATTGGGGCTAAGAAATTTGAACCTAGGTCTTTTGAAAAACCAAACATATACCTAATCATTGAGCCAAAACCAGTGTTTGATTTAAATTAGAGAATAAATATATATATATATATATAAGTAACAACAAAACTTGAGACGGTACACAAATACACACCTATTGATAATATACCTGTACCAAAGAAAGATATATAAACTCAAGTAAAATTTCAAATAATTAAAAGGGTTAACTACTTCAAATACCACCAACCTTTAAGCGTTACTCGTTTATAGCATCAACATTTTAATTTTGTCCATTTTAACACTAATGTTTACTTTTAAGTGCAATTATACCACTCTACTGTTAATTATTTAACGGCACGATGACATGACAGTTTCACGCCGTGAAGGTGCTGACGTGGATGCCTCACCAAAACGACGTCGTTTGGATACAACTAATTTAGTGCTCAATACACACAAAACGAAATCATTTTGCTTGAAAAAAATTATTAAAGTATTGAGATTAAGGATTTGAACCCCCAAACCCATGGAAATAGATCTTAATCCTTAACCATTGGGCTGCCTAGTTTTTTTTGTTATTTTTTTCTATAAAATTTCTAAAATCTAAAATTCTAGTTAAGATTAACTCTAAAATTTTAAATAACTTAAGGACTAAACGTAAAATTTTCAACTATATTTTCTCTACAAAATATATCTACAACAGTCGTTGGCAAGGGGAATGAAGAAGCAGCTGAGCCAGACGGTTGATTCCTTTGATGAATTGAGGGTTTATCAAACGGTGGAAAATAATATGAAAAAAAAAGAAAACCTAAAAAAGGGAAACGAAAATAGATTGGTAAACAACAAGTACGAGTAAAGCACAAGGGAAGAAAGACAAACCAATAACTCTCTCTCTCTGTATGCTTTGCTTTTGATTTCTCTCTCCCTTTTATGTTCTATCTCCATGACAATGCGACTCAACAAAACAAAAACTCCTTAAAATTTTAAAAACAAAGCAAGTCAAAACACCCCCAAGGAATAGAAAAAAGCAAAATATTCACTGTTTTTTTTATTCAAGCTTTGAAGAATAAAGACATGGGTTTCCTGCATGACAATGTTGTGATTATAAGGCAAGCGAATAAAGAATGAGAGTCGAGTATCATCATCGTAAACTACCCTGATAAAACCAATTTAGATTGTGATTTATGTTGCATCATACTCTTCTTGGGTCTTTTAAAAAAAGCTTAATTTGTTCTTGTGAAGATGTATCTATGGATGGGAAATGGTGTTTTATAGTGTTTTGGGTGGTTTGTAAGGCAACAACAATATAGGAATTGTTAAAGAAAAAACTAGTTGGAGCTTGCCTTTGTTGCTATTCTGCTTCTGAGATTTTTTATTACAGTTCTGAATTGCTATTTCTCATGAAAGGCGAACTAATATACGACTAATATACGACGTTACCAGATATATTAAAAGATAATTAACAAATTTGGTTTTGCGCTACCGGAAATGTTGAGTAATAATAATGTTGTAGGTGGAAATCATGAAGAAATATTAAAAAATTTGGCAACCGCCAAACTTAGCTTGTTGGTTTGTGTCGATACAAATAAAAAATGTATCGATCCATAATAATATAACATGTAAAAATATGACAAAACCGGTCTCGAAATGAAAAAAAACGGTAAAGCGCTACCGGATATGTTGAAAGTATCAATTAGATTGAAATAAGTATCGACACTTTTGGAATTTAAAAGAGAAGAAGTAATAGCGCCTATAAAGTGTCGATACTTTATAAAAATGTATTAATCCATAACAATATAACAGGTAAAAATATGACAAAACCGGTCTCGAAATGACAAAACTGGTAAAACACTATCGGATATGTTTAAAGTGTCGATACTTTAATATAAGTATCGACACTTTTGGAATTTAAAAGAGAAGAAGTATAGAGCCTATAAAGTGTCAATACTTTATAAAAATGTATCGATCCACAACAATATAACAGGTAAAAATAAGACAAAATCGGTTTCGAAATGACAAAACTGATAAAGCGCTACCGGATATGTTGAAAGTGTCGATACTTTAATATAAGTATCGACACTTTTGGAATTTAAAAGAGAAGCAATAATAGCGCCTATAAAGTGTCGATACTTTATAAAAATGTGTCGATCCATAACAATATAACAGGTAAAAATATGACAAAACCGGTCTCGAAATGACAAAACTGGTAAAGCGCTACCGGATATGTTGAAAGTGTCGATACTTTAATATAAGTATCGACACTTTTGGAATTTAAAAGGGAAGCAGTAATAGCGCATGTAAAGTGTTGATACTTTATAAAAATGTATCGATCCATAACAATATAACAGGTAAAAATATGACAAAACCGGTCTCGAAATGACAAAACGGTAAAGCGCTACTGGATATGTTGAAAGTGTCGATACTTTAATAAGTACGCGTAAAATATTATCAATACTTTTTAATGAAATAGGTAAATATCCTATCGAAAGTATCGACATCTGACATAAAAGTATAGACACTTTGGTAGTTGTATCGATTAAATATAAATAACATATCCGGTGAAAATATAAAGGGCATAGCTAAATTTCCTCTGAAAATAGATAGAACACTGACGAGTTTTTAAAATCTGTTACTGCATTTCATAAGGCGTTTCTAAAGCGAAGTTTGTTTGTTTGTTGTTGCAGTCGAATCGAAAAGTACATTATCGAAACCCTAGTTTTTTATTATTACAGTAATCAGAAATAGAGTTTTTAAGCATTTGTGACTGATTACAGGTAGAAAGTGATATTGTAGGTAGATGATAAATATCGATACTTTTATTAAATATTACAGGTATAAAATGATATTATAGGTTGTATAAATGTGCTGATACATGGAGTATTGAGTGTTCTCATTCGTTTGAAGAAAATAGGGATTAGAGATTTTTGGGTTTGGTTTGGGGATTTTGATTTGAAGCCAAGAAAGATTTGGGACCGATTATATAATATTATAGGCAGAAAATAAATATGGATTCTTGTATATAATATTATAGGTAGAAAATGATATTGTAGGTTGTATAAATGTGCCGACACTTGTTGTAGTGACCATTCAAATTCTTTTGAAGTAAACCGTATTACTACAAGAGTAGTTATCAATATTTGTATATTGAGTAAAGTGTATGTAACAAGTATTTGATTTGATTTGCGTAAACTGATATATGAAGGAAAAATGAAGTCAATGGGTGGAAAAATTATTGGTGGTGAAGATGACTTTGAAATTGAGGCCGAGAGTCGAAAGCAACCAAAGAGTGGATATATGTACTTCTAGTAAGTATCAATGTCTTTTTGTTATTATTGTTGAAATGGTAATTGGATTAAAGTATTTAAGAACTTTAAATTGGTTACAAATTTTAAATGTTGACAGTATGACCGAATGCCAAAGGATAAAGGAAGCTGGCACACACATCGGTTCGGTATGTAAAATGAAATTGACATTGAGTATTATTTAGCGTTAATGTATTGATTAAGAAACGTTTATGCTTAATATTAGGTGAGAAATGATGTGTTAGAGAAATAGAATTAGATGAGTGATGCTGAGAAGGAACCTTACATTGCACAGTCAAAGATGGATGGTGAAGAATACAAAGAATAGAGGAAAGCACATGAAAAGAAGGTATTCATTAAACTTGTAAATATGTTGATACAAGATATATAAGAACAATAACATTATATATTGTTAAAAAATGTAGGAAGTGTCGACAAGGTACATCATAAAAAGGGTGAATTCGTTAATTGAACACCTTAAGAAGAATGATCAGTTGAATGTGCTGGAAGAAATAGGATTTGGATCGTTGATGGGAGTAAGGGATCGACCTATTCGGAGGGAATTGTGTCGATCCTTGATGGAGCAATTTGATGTCCAACAATGTATTGTGAAATATGGTGATTATTCATTTCCTCTGGGGGTCCCATGTGTTGCAGCCGTCTTGGGTGTAGGAAATTAAGGCAAAAGTGTTGTAGAAGTCTCTAAGAGTAAGAACTGGAAAGAACTTGCCTCCAAATATGGTTTGAAGCAGAAGGTGACATATGCTGAACTTGAAGAGGAAATCAAAAGTGGATCTTACGGGGGGATGACCTGAAGGCCCGAGTTCTATTGTACCTTGTCGGGATCTTTGTTTTTCCAATGGGTGATACGTCAACGAACAAGGACAATATGAAGTTGATTTACGATGAAGGCTTGAAGGGTGAATTCAATTGGGTTGAATATGTCCATTCAAGATTGATTGAATCAATAATCACCTTTAAAAAGGGCAGTTAGAGATACCTCAAAGGGTGCATAGCAATCTTAGAGGTAAATGAGTTGAAGAACATTTTTGTTTTTTTATATAAACTGATAATATAGTTATTATATAAAATGATAAATTTTATTATAAATGCAGGTTGCACTGTTCGATTTTTGGTCGGGATGTGATAGTGTGCTAGCTTATGAAAGAAACAGAGTGGCATGCATTTGTGCATGGGGGAAAGAAGAAGTTGTTAGAGTGATGGCGAAGTTGAAGTTGGATAGACCGAGGAAGCAAGAAAGGGTAATAAATATAATTA